GCTTACCTACGAAGCGACCTATTCCTAGGTAATATTACAGCCTAGGAATGCTGCAGCTGGGGACTTGAAACAGAAGTGTAGATCACAGCCCTTGCTGGGTTTTCCCTCGCTTCCTTCAGAGCTTCCCATTCTGTGCAAATCACATTTCTAAAAAGGCCGTTCTCGTTTCTTGAAACCTAAACACAAATCTGATAACTACCTCTGCCTCTTGGAGTCTGCAGTCCCAAGAGTACTGTGTCAGACAGAGCTGAAACCAAATACTTTATATGCGTTTCTCTTGCTGTCCTGTCATTCAGTATAGCTGGGTGACCCATCATGAAGGGTGCCCCCTACACTTCCACAACATAAGCTCCCAACAAATGATGATAATAGAATAACGCTGTTGATGGTGGTGGTTGGATCACATCAGCGCCAACCTCGTTGTGTATGATGCGCGCTGCAGAGCAAGCGTGGGGTGATGGATCCTGGGGCATTCACTCTCGGTGTGACCTTGGACAAACTTGGCTGAGCAACTTGCCATTTCTGTGCCTGTGCAGAAAGATTTGCTAAAGTGGAGGAGGGAGAAATAGCTGTGGTTCTGTATGTAGCATCCTCGGCTTTTACTCTATGTGTTATGGTAGACCTGGGGCCAGAGAACGAATGGATAGGCTTGCCATTCAGAAACTGGGAAAAGCAAGCTATCAGGAGCTGTAGATTCCTCCGATTTATAGGTCCACTGGCATCTGTTTTGTTGGTTGCCTTTCTTAGTGCTGCAACAAACCCCTGACAAACTCAACAAAGGAAGGGAAGGGTTTGTTTTGGTTCAATCTGAGGCTACCTTCTACTGTGGTAGGGTCCTTATGGTGGCAGGGGCTTGAGGCAACTGCTCATTCATCAGGAAGCAGAGAGGTCAACACTGGCACTTAACTCACTTCCTCTTTAGATACAGTACACCACCCCAACCTATGGAATGGGGCTTCCCACATTTAGGGTGAGTCGTCCCACCTAAATGTAGAAAATCCTTCCCAAATAAGTCTAAAGGACATGTCTCTTCGGTGACTCCAGGTCCTGTTACGTTGACAATCAATAGGAACCACTACATCTGTCTTCATTGTCAAGATAAGAAAGGAATAAGTATGATTGACGTTTGGGTAGACTGCCCCAAACCTAGGCTGCTGCTTGTATAATACACTTGAAACATGCCGGGTCCTTGCCCAGAGAGTGGTTATGTTGGTGAGCTGTTCTTAGGAAGAAGGAATCAGTTCTTATAGACCAGAGACCTTAGGGAAGGAAGGCTGAGGGAGACCACAGCCAGCACCGATGTTTGAGGGACCGATTCTCTCATCAACCACCTGTAATGGGTGGAGCAGTGGAATGGAAGGAACAGTGGAACCATAGTGATGAGCTGTCTGCCAGAAGCTTTGCTCCCATTTTCCCATGACTGCATCAGAATTCCCATTCCGAAAGCACTAGATGCCAAAAAGACAGCTGCTTGGCCTCTCCCTGACCTAAGTGTGTGGGGCTGGAAGGCATAATCAGTAAGCTTGGGAAATGGCTTAAGCCCACAATACCAAGTCACAATTTCTCTTGTTAACTTCCATGCAGACATCGCATTCCAAATCACGGGCTGAAGAAACCTGTCACGGAGAACTTTCATCGCCAAGCACGGTAGCCGGAACCACCTGACTGGGGGCTCTGGTAACTCTCCAATAGCCTTCCTTCTCGTTCAGTCCCCTAAGTCCGCTGTACATTGGCCCGGTCCCCAAGCATGGAAGAGCAGGCATCCGTCTTGAGTGGCCTCCTTTGAAAGGCTGCCAGCCCTAGGTGGTTGTATTTCTTCACGGGGGTCAGGGCGTCTCGGCTGGTCTCCTGTCTGCAGTTATTCATGAGTCCTCAGATTTGGGCCGAGTTCCACCGCCGTGGAACTTCACCTCCGCTGCCTTCACCGCCCAGAGTCTTGGCAAGAGAACGAATGTCTCTCCATTCTCCTCACCACTCCCATCCACCCACACCACACCCTGCTCTCTCCATAAAGGTCTCCAGGGCCCGGGCTGCCATCTGTACTATGCTTCCCTGGTTTGACTGGTTTTTCCTGCTAAGGCAGCTCAGCTCACTCCTTCAGGAGTGATGACCCACAGAGACCTGTGGTTAGTAGACAGGACCAAAAAAGAAAAAAAAAAATCCTTCAAGTTTGCCAGGCAAATAGTAAAATAGGTCTTTTCAAGAGATTCTGAGAACCTGAAAAGTGACTTTGTTGTAAAACCTGTGATTTTCCTTTCTCCTTTCCAATGAGTTGCATTTTTGAACTATACTTAGTATTCAGAGCTCAAAGCGCTCTCTGTTCTCGGGCTTGAGAGCCAACCCTTCCTCTCAGTTAGGGGCAGAGCTTTTTTGAAGAACCCTGCTGCAGTCCTTCAGATGGACTTGAGCTGACCATGAGCCCCCCCACCCAGATTCTACATTCCTTTCTGAGGGAGGAAAAAGGGAAAAATGGCTGACCCGCTTACTCTTAAAAATATACAAAAGTTATTCGTTAAATTCAGCCTTCTCCAGTTAGGAACTGGTTGCAGCAGAAGCCAGGTAAGAAGGCAAGGTCGGCTGTAGAACCTACCCTGTGTTCCAAACACACAGTTTAACCTTCCAGCAGGCTAGCTGGGACAGATGGCCCTTGGTGTCTGGCAGGCTCTCACTAATTAACATGGCGGCTGCTCTAGGAAAGCCAATGTCAGAGAGTCCAGGGCTTAATTGTGTTTTCCTGGATTGCTTCCTTGCTGTTTGGTTGCTTTAAGCACTTGCTAAGATGAAACCAGATTCAAGAGGCAGGGAAGTCGAGGCCATTTGTGTGCATACGAAGGCTGGCTGCATTTTCTGAGGTTACCCCTTCAGATCTATAGCAGGAGACATGAACCAAAAGGAGTAATGAGAATGGCCCTGCCCCTAGTTCCAAAAAAAAAAGATATTTTTCTTTTCTTTTGAGCCAGGGTCTCATGTAGCCTAGCTTAGCCTTGAACTTGATATTGAACTGTTGATTTCCCTGCCTCCACCATCTCAAATTTTGAGATTACAGGCATGTACTATCTCACCAGGTTTATGAAGTATTGGAAATTGAACTCAGCACTTCAGTTATGCAGGGCAACTGTTCTAATACCCCCAGTTCCTATGTAATGTGTGTGTATATACGTGTATGTATGTATAGAAATATGTATGGGTGATTGATCGAACGGCAGGATTTTACTCTGTGGCCCATCCTGGCCTTGAACTTTCTATTCTCCTACTTCTATCTGAGTGCCTGGGTTATAGGCCTGCACCATTGTACCCAGCTAAACAGGATAACGTTAAATGGCATGAAGGGGCCTAAGCCGTACAGTGTATAGTCATCATAGAGGTGTAGATCTTCACTAAACAAACAGCAGAGGTTTCTGTTGGCCAGCGCAACATGCAAAATGAAATAGGGAGATTTCATCAGAGTTAGAGGGCGTGGCTGCAACGGTCAGACAGAGTAAAGGTGAAATCCATTTGGCAAGCATGTGACTCACTGAGAAAAGCTTCAGGGGAGTGCTTGACTCGATCAACAGAGACCGGTAGACTGCTCGCTGGAAGGGTGTGCCAAAGATGGAGAAAACACACTGGTTTCAGATATGAACCCCAAGTTGAAAGGATTCAAATTCCTGGGTCAGCGGGGAGAGTGCTTGCTGGATGAGCATGAGGTCCTGAGTTCAGTTCCTAGAACCTACAGAAAGCTGAACACAGTAGCACCCTCTGCAGTCAGTGCTCCTTGGTGAAAAGGAAGATGGAGACCAGAACATCCCCGAACTCACAGGCCGGCTAGCCCTACACACACAGCAGCAAAACAGGAGACTGTCTCAATAGAGGTGGAAGGTGAGGACTGACGTCAAATGTTGACCTCTTACCCCCATGGAGCATCTGCTGGCCCCTCACATACACACACACACACACACACACACACACACACACACACACAGGAGGGGGAATTAAAAAGGTATTTGTATGCACATGCTAGAGACGGCCCAGCAGTTAAACCAGAAGACTCTTACTGGGTTCCCTAGTACACATGCTGAGTGGCTCAGAACCGTCTATAACTCCAGCTCCAGGGAACCTGACTCATTCAGCTGGCCTCTTCCGGAACTGCCTTAGTTTCTGTTTGCTGTCATAAAACACCATGACTAAAAGCAACTGAGGGAGGAAAGGACTTACTTTAGCTTACAGTTCCAAATTACAGTCTGTCAATGAGGGAATTCAGGGACTCAAGACAGGAACCTGGAGTCAGGGACAGAAGTCAGGGACTGATACAGAGGCCATGGAGGAGTGCTGCTTACTGGCTTGCTCATCATGGCTTACTCGGCCTGCTTTCCTTTTTTTTTTTTTCTTATTGAAGAGCTTCTTTTTTATTAGTTTAGTTTTATTTTATGTTTGTGTTTTGGCTGCATTGTATGTCTGTGTGCGGGTGTCAGAATCCCTAGAACTGGAGTTACAGCTAGATGTAAGTCACCTTGTGGTGCTGGGAATTGAACCCAGGTCCTCTGGAAGAGCAACCAGTGCTCTTAACCACGAAACATCTCTCCATCCCTCTCAGGCAGCTTTCTTATAGAACCTAGGACTACTAGCCCAAGGATGGTATTACTCACAGTGATCTGTGTCTTTCTGTATTAATAATCAATTGATAAAATGTACTGCAGGCTTACCCATGATCCAATCTAGTGGGGAAATCTTCTCAAATGAAGTTCCATTTTCTAAAATGACTCTAGTTTGTGTCAGGTTGACATAGAACTGGCCCACACAGGCACGCACACACATGTAACATACATATAGACAAGTGAAAAGAAAGCCAAGGGGATGAAGGCTTCTAAAAGCAGGTGTTGCTATGTAGCTAAGCTTCTTGCTCTCTGGACTAGCAGCAGTCATGGCTTCTTTATCTAACAACAGTTAATGATTCTCCAGAATGCCAAGTAGACATGCAAGCTATTAGTGTCCATGGCTATTCCCCAGTCTCTAAAGGCGTTAGTACTCTGAGAGTCGGTGTGATGCCCTGGACGTGGCCTTTCCAGGAGGTTTACTTCTCAGAATGACCTTGGTGTTCTCGTTTCCTGGGGATGCCTTCAGAAATGCAGCCAAGGAAGCAGCATGGCGGGCAGTGTAGCTCTCCTGGCTGGAAGAAGGTATTTAAAAGAGGGCACACCTGTGCCCCTCTGTCGGCCTATCAGATTATTCAAATAATGGTTCCCAAGGTATTGGAATGTCCTCGGGAATTTCTTGCTGGGAGAAGGGAAAGACTGAAGCTTGGTACCAGCCAGAGAAGGAACATGTCTCCTAGGAAGAGGTTTTTACGAAGCTGTGACAGCTTACCAGATCATCTTGTAAGACTAACTGGGTCCTAGACATTGAAGGCTTAATGTACGATTGCTTACTTACATATATCTCTTGCCTTCCATTTGAAATCAAACCTCATGTCGGTACCGTGAAGATGGACAGGGGTGGGTACTGGAGGGGTGGGCACTGGATCTCTTTGTTTGCTCTTTCTGATGTGTGGCCACATTGATACATTTCCTTACTCACTGTTACCTATCTGTTCAGTTGGACTTTTAGGGACGAGTGGCTGGGCCTGGCTTTAACAGGCTCTGACCCTAATGACCCAGTGACAGCAATGCAGGAAGAAAAGCAACCTCTAAAGTTACCGTGTGTAAAACAGAAGCGGCAAGGACATCACACAGGAACCAACCAGCCCGGCAATGGCTCCTCTCATGCTTCTCCCCCACCATGGGTAAGGAGCCGCCTGGATGTCTCTCTAATCTAGTCACTCACTGTGTTTCATGTGTCCTGCTCTTACAACGGACTCATCAACTACCAATTAGGCTTGTAAAGATACAGCTTTTCTAAAGTTCATCTTGTATCTTGTCATTTTTCCTTTTTCAAGATGTATTATTTTATCTGTGTCTGTGTGTATATGTGTATATGTGTGTATGTGTGTACTCATAGATTCCAGAGAGATTTCAGATCATTTTAAGTGGAGTTACTGGTGTGTGTGTGTGTGTGTGTATGTCTGTGTGTGTGTGTGTGTGTATGTGTGTGTGTGTGTATGTGTGTGTGTGTGTGTATGTGTACACCCACAGATGTCAGAAAGAGAGATCAGATCCCTTTGTGTGGAGTTACAGGCCTGTGTGTGAGTTGCTTAGTGTTTGTGCTGGGATCTGAACACTGGTTCTCTGATAGAGTAGAAAGTGCCCCCATCCTGCCATAGAATGCTCAGGCTCCTGAGCATCTGAGCAATAGAAGGAAAACTTCACGATTGACCTTAACTTCTCTTCATTCTTCCTCCTTGCTGCTTTTCTCCCTGAAGGCAAGAACACATGTGCCAAGCGCAAAGGAACGGAGTGAGCCAGCAAGAAAAAACACAAGTCTCCCCTTGTGTGTGTGTGTGTGTGTGTGTGTGTGTTTGCCTTACAAAGAGATTATGTGGTCTCTCCCATTAGGGATTGATTCTGTTTCTTGACCCTCGACTCTGGGATGGCCTTAAGACTTGTTTCATTCATTAAGAATACTCGACATGGTATTGTGTCAATTCTGAGACTAGTCTTAGAGACATGGAGAATTTCTGCTGGCTCTTGGAACCTGTCACTGCTGTGTACACAGGGCCAGGATAACCTGCCAGAGAGGGACCTATTTGGAAGAGAGACTGCTTAGTACATCCAAGACTGTCTTAAGCCAACCTCCAGCTAGTTAATGCCCAGACATGCAAGAAAGCTATCTCTGTAATGTCTGCTGATTGCCAGTGCTTATATGAACCTTGCTGAGAAAAGGACAGTTCAGCTGACCCTGAATTCTTGAGCCAAAGCAATGCTGTTAAAACTTTGTGCCTGGTACATGTATGTGTGTGTATGTATATATCCATTAGTGTGCCAAGATGCATGGAGGAACCCATGCATGTGTGTGTGTGTGTGTGTGTGTGGAGGTAAAAGTTGATTTTGGGACGTCTTCCTCAATTGCTCTTGACCTTTTGTTTTCATTTTTAAGTTGTGTGTGTGTACACATGCTTGAGTGAATGCATGTGTGTGTGAGAACACCCAGGCCACGGTGCATGTGTGAAGAATAGAAGACAACTTTCAGGAGTGGGTTCTTCTACTGTGTATGGCCTGGGAGACAAACTCAGGCCATTGGTTTTGGCAGCGGGTTCTTTTACTGGCGGAGTCTCTTGCTCAACCTTATATTTTGAGATAGGGTCTTTCATTAACCTCTGAGCTCACCAATTCAGATACACTAGCTGGCCAGCCAGCTCTGTGGATCCCCTGCCTCCAACTGCTTTACAGATCACAGATGTGGGCGCCATACTTGGGCGTTAACTCAGGTCCTCAACTTGCAAGCCCTTTCCCTCTCTCAAACTCCTACTATTACGACTTTAAGTCATAAAGACTTGATAAAGTTTGTTACACAGCAATTGCTTATTGATACACACACCTCGCTATTTTGTGCATAATATGCAATCTTCATCTTAATTTTCAACTTTTGTTTTAAGTAACACTGCCTGAACCTGGGTGAGTTCCCTTGCCTGAGAGGCTCTTATAAGAATATTCATATTTTAAGTCCTGATGGCTTTTCTCTCAATAGGTTTTCCTTAACCCTCACATGCTGAGGTTAGCTGTCACTATAGATGACTTCTTGACCTTACTTTGTTCAAATGCATCTAAGTATTCTACGTCTTGGCCTTCAGTATATGTCCTAGTTCGACCTGAATCTCCCAACTTAATAAGAATACTATTAGTCAGCTTAGGAGGAATCCCCAACTTGAAGATCACTCTCATCTGCTTTTAGCAAGAATTCAGTTAAATTGGCTTAGCTATAATCATTCTGAACTCTTGGTAATCACCTAATACCCTCAGTCTGCTTCTCAGCTATAAATCTCCAGTCTTCCTTATTGTATTTGGAGCTGTGCCTGGTCTTTCGTGCCTGTTGCAAAACCCTGTACAGTAGCCTTTTCCTGATCATCTTTGGCAAGTGCTGGAATAAATCCCTTTCTTCCTTCTTCCTTCCTCTCTAGCCCCCTTTCTCCTCTTCCTTCCCTTTCTCCCCTCCCCTTTTTTAAATAAAAAAATTAGGTTTATTTATTTTACATGTATGAGGTTTTTGTTTGTTTTGTTTTGTTTTGCCTGAATGTATGGATGCATACTGCGTGCATGCCTAGAACCCACGGAGGTCAGCAGTCAGGGAATGCCAGGTCCCCTGGAACTAGAGATGGTTGTAAAGCAAATATTGGAACCAAACCCAGGTCCTCAGCCAAGAGGAACAAGTGCTTTTAACCACCAAGTCACCTCTCAGTCCCTCTTTTTCTCCTTCTTGACAGGGTATCAGGTAACCTTGGCTGGTTTCAAATTTGCCAGGTAGCTGAGACTGACCTTGAACTCAATGACCCTCCTGCCTCCAAATCTCATTGGTTGGGATTCCAGGTGTGAAGCACCTATTTAGGGGTTAGTTTGTTTCTCTTCAACACAGCCACATTCTCCTTTACTGCCCTGTCTTTGCTAGACACTTGTTCCATTGAAGTGTAATCACTAGTTCACTCAACTCACTTTATACTCTCCTGAGTGTTTGTTGAAGGTCGGCCTGGATTTTTTTTTTCTTAAGTAACATTGTCTGAACCTAGAAGAATATTTAGAAAATCACAAGGACACAATGTACCTTTGTCAGTGGGAGGGTGAATGGATGTATAAGTTACTCTGTTTCTCTGGGTTTCAGCTTTCCGGCAGAGAGAAGGTATGGAATGGAAGGATTCTGGAATGCGGATAAGTCTTGCTTTATAAGCCAGCTCTAACAAGTCACCGGCCCTGAATGTTTGCGATTCTTTCCTGATGAAGACCCTGCCTGTTGTCTCTGGAGTTAAAGGGAAGGAATGTCATGATTAATTAGCCATGTTTGCCATGGTCAGGAAATGGGAAATGACAGCCGACCTGCCAGAAATGGACCAATTCTAGGGCAAGATGATTGCTCTGCCTCCTGTGGCTATCAATCAATCTTGCTCAACCCAGCCATGTCTGCACTGCACATTGTGCCAGTGAAAGGCAGAAGCCAATGTGGAGCTGACTCGATGCCAACGTTAATGGTGCTTGCTGTGCTAGAGACCAGGTGTTTACTAATCGATTTTTCTTTTCCCCTGGGCATGCTCATGGAGCTGGACTGTATTTTTCCAGCCCCACACCACTGAGTTTGTGCCAGAGACCAGATTCCATGGATGCAATGCAAGCTGAAGTGATAGGAGTCCTTTCTGCTAGGTGCGGTAGAGCCTTCTTTGTGCAAAGCCAAATTATCTTCCTGACTTACTACCCTCTGCTCCCTCCTTCCCCTCCCCCTCTCTTCTCCCTCTTTGCTCCCTCCTTCTTCTCCTCTTCCTCCTTTTCTGGGTAGATGCATTGGGAGGTATAGGCTAATACTTGGCATCTATGGACACCAATAAAAATGACATCTGAGGAGATGGGGAGATGGCTCACTCAGTAGGGTGCTGACCTTGCAAAAAGAAGGAGTTCTAGCTCCAAAATCATGTTAAAAAAAAAAAAAGCCGGCCGTACTTGGTACATAAGTCACTCCAGGACTGGTGTAACCCTGGAGCTTGATGGTCAGAAATTTAGCTAACCAGGCAAGTTTCTGGCCAGTGAGTGATGTTGTCACTTAAAAAGTACTTTAAGGGGCTGGAGAGATGGCTCAGCGGTTAAGAGCATTGCCTGCTCTTCCAAAGGTCCTGAGTTCAATTCCCAGCAACCACATGGTGGCTCACAACCATCTGTAATGAGGTCTGGTACCCTCTTCTGGCCTGTAGGCATACAAGTAGAAAGAATATTGTATACATAATAAATAAATATAAAAAAAGTACTTTAAGGTTTTATTTTTATTTCTAATAATCTATATTTTGTCAGTGTGGGTTTGGGCATATGAGTACATGGTCCCTTCAGAAGCCCGAAGAGGGTGATGGATTCCCCTGGAACCAGAGTCACAGGAGGTTGTCAGATCCCTCCCTCTCGTGGGTGCTGGGAACTGAGCTCTGGTCATATGCAAGAGCAGTTATACTGTTCACCACAGAGACACCTCTCCAGTCCCTCGGTTGCTGCATGTGTATGTGTGGGTGCATGAGTCCCAGGGTGCAATGACCAGAGTACAGCCTTTGAGGGCCAGCTCTTGCCTTCTCCCTAAGAGGCAGAATCTCTTATTGCTTCTGCTGCTGTTCGAGCGCTCTGGGAGTTTCTAGACCCTCTTCCTGTCTCCTCTCTCCTCTTACCAGAGGAGTGCTGGGTTATAGATGCCTGCTGCCTCATCCAGCTTCTTACGTGTGATATGGGGGTTGGATGCTGATTGGCAGGCTTGTGTGGTAGTTTCTTTAACCACGGATCCATCTCCTAGGCCCCTGAGAGACCCATAACTTAAAAGAAAACAGCTGATGTCCTCCAGCCTTCCCCAGCGCACACACATGTGTGTGCACACACAACTACACCCAGCCACCCCCATGTGAAAAAATGACATTTTTTGATACATCACATGTTTTAGCCAACAGAGAGTAATGACTGTAGAAACCTGTTGGGTTTCTGTCTGCATTTATTGCTGTTCACTTCTAGCCTTTGGGTTCTTTTTCCACAGAAAATGACCCACCACAGGGCATCATAAAAAAAATCCCCAAATCCATTCTCTGCCTTTCATTCTTGATCTCAGTTACTTGGCAGTCCCTGCAGAAGAAAGAGTTCAAGAACGTATGTGTTCCCTCCTCCAACTTAACAGCCGTCCACAATTTTGATTGCCAAAGTTTTTGAGCTCCCGACAGATCCAGAAAATACAGACTTAAAATATTCACGCCTCTGCCTGCAGCAGTGTAGGGCATGAATATGCATATTCAGGCACACAGCTGCCACCGGCTGCTCCAGCGAGGCAGGTCCCAGGCCTCTTGGTGACACTGGGAGAAGCTGACCTTTCTGTGTCTGCTCTACACCCCTGGCCATTTCACGTTCTCAGTTACTAGTGTGAGTTCTCATTTGTCCCCAAGGACTTAGGGCTCCAAGAGCTGCTTACTGTTCATGCAGCGACGTGTTTTTCTCCCTACGGTCTCATCAAAATGTTTCTATCCCAGATGTCGCTCACTGACAGAGTGTCTGTTTGGTATTCGTGAACCCGTGTGTGTATTCCATCTTCAGTACCCTATAACCTCAGCATTTGGGAGCTGGAGGCAAGAGGAGCAAGGTTCAAAGTCATCTTCAGCTACTTGGTGAATTGGGCCAGCCTGAAATACATGGGACCCTGTCTCAGACACAATTTCCCCATTCGGAGGCTTTGCTTTCCAGCTACTCTTCCTTTTAGTGTGCGGATCTGATGAGTCTTGTGCACCGGTGGCTTCACCGCAGTCCCTAGAAAAGGAAGTGGGTGGCTCTCCTTTGCTGCCTTGTCATGAGTGGCCACCTCTCAAACAGCCTTGCCTAACTGGGCAGCGTCTCAAACAGTGTTGCCTAATTGTGAGGTTTGGGACTGGTAAGGAGAAAAAGAACAGCTCTGCAGCATAGTGTGCAGAGGGGGCTGTGGATATCACCCTGCTCTGACCCGCCAGATCCCAGCGCTGGTCCTCTGTAGATGGTGTTGATAGAGAGAGCAACAGAAACAAACAGTGGGAGGCGGGGTGCGGGAGGCCGGGTGCTAACGCTGAGTGGGTACCTGCAGAACTGCCAGAGGAGGGAAGGTCAGTGGGGTGGTGTAGCTTTCTGATAACAGAACAGGAAGCAAGTTGATTGTGTTGGCACCAGCCTGTACCCCCACCATTTGGGAGGTACAGGGAACAGGAGTTTAAGGTTGTGCTTGAGTACAAAGCAAGGTCAAAGCCAACATGGCTTATAAAAGACCCTGACTCAAAAAAAAAAATAAAATAAAATAAAAAGTTTTGTTGTTGTTGTTGTTGTTGTTTTTTAATTTAAAAAGTCCCTCAAAGGTTTAGTGAACATTGTCAATACAGAGCAGAAAGAACAGAAAGAGCCCCAGAGAGTGGGGAGGTGTGTTGCAAAAAGAAGTCTTTTGGACTTGACATTGGCCCTTACACTATTGAATTCCCTGTAGCTGTGGTTACCCGCACAGCCTCACAGAAGACTGGGCCTGTCGGCACTTTACCGTGGAAACGGCCCAGGAGGCACCACCGCTCCGGGGGAATACTGAAGTCTAATGGTGGCCCGGGGGAAGGGGTGTCACTTACTTGCACCGTAGTCATTCATGGGTAGCCCTTTATCTAGTAAATAACCTCACCCCAAAAAGGCATGAAAATAAGAGGAGGGTATGAGAGGGATTTGAACAAGAGGAGGCTGGGGGAAATAAGAGAGTATAATGGATGGCAATGATGAAAATCCATTATATATATAAAACTGCCAAAGAATGAATAAAAACGGGGGCAGAGGGATGGCTTGGCAGTTAAAAGCACTGGCTGCTCTTGCTGAGGAGGACCTGGGTGCAGTTCCTAGCACCACACATTTACGGTGCACAGACATACATGCAGGCAAAAACATCCAGGCACACAAAATAAAAACAAATTTAAAAATGAAAATGGGACAGAAGGAGCTAGGCAAAGATAAAGGTTTTATAATGAAAAAACGGTCCGTAAGAGATCGAGACATGCCACAGGGTTTTGTGTTCATTTTTGCAGATGTCACTGAATTTGCAAACATGAATTTGACACACATTGCCACCGTCAGTCCCCATGCTTGCATTGACTGAGGGCTCACCATATATTAGTGGTTCATTTATTGCCCACTTCAACACAAAACATACTATGCCACACATATCCACAAGGAAACTATAGTTAAAAAGTAACTTTATAGGAGGTTACAGAGTTAGCAAAGTGACAGAGATAAGAGCCTTGTTCTGAATCGCCACACCTGACTGTTGCACTCCAGGAAGGTGAGGTGGGTGTCAAGCAGCTCTTGTAGGGCCTGGTCTGTCCCACTGTTACCAAGGGCAGAGCAGAGAATTTGGAGAACACCTGCTGAAGTCTCCAGAATCTTCTGTGAGTGGAAAAAAATTGAAAGGACATGGCTGCTCCTAGGTATCGTGGACAAGAAGCTTTATTATCAATACATGGGAAAGCATAGCCAGAGGCAGGGACATCTGGGAGAGTGAACATGACCACACTGAGCTGGAGTGTGTGAGGAGAGGGGGGAGGTGAGAGGGGAGAGCCGAACCAAGAGGGGCAGTTTTGGCCAAGAGACAGAAAGACCAGTAACCGAAATGTCTGGATTATATAGGGCAGGGCAGCGTAGCCACTGGGCTGGAGAGTTCAGGGTAGAGGGTGAGGGTGGAGTATGCCAGCCATACCCTTTAACATGTAGGGACTGAGGGATGCTGAGAAAACCTGGTGGTCAGGTCCACTTTGATTTGTTACATAGGCACTTCAGCCATTTGCCCCAGGATCTGAGACTTAACTTTCCACCTTGGGAAGAAGAATCACACTAAGCAGATACCCTGGGATGCCCAGCTATGAATAGAAATCGAGTTGGTTTATTAAGATAATGAAAGCATTTCTGAGGATTGGAGTGAGCTAATGACCCGGGGAAAGGCCCCAAATCACTAGGCCAAAGAGGCTCGTGACCTTTCATAGGTCCTTTATGTTGAGCTTGCTCCTCCTCTCCACCCACCCCCAAGCCCATAGCCCAGGTAGGAAAGGATTTCCAGTCTATTTTATCAGATGGCTTCTTAATTTGTGAATGTTGATGTCCATCTCTCTGGTTTTCCCATCTCATGGGACACCACTTTCTTTATGAAATATTAGAGGAAAGCCAAAAGGGTGGAGTTGGCAGTGGCAATCTGTGCTGTTGGGCTGTGGTCCCACCAGCCACCAGCATCTATCTCTGACTAGCCGTATTCCCTTTGGGGAGGTCTTCACTAGTGTCCTTTGGCTAATCCGAGAGAGCAGGCTGCCAGCTCTAATACGATACAGCCTCATCAGTGTAAGAGAGTGGAAAACATCGAAGCGAATGCCCTTGAGAGTAGCCTCCAGGGCCATCATATACCTGTCAGGCAGGCAGAAACTCTCGATGGAAGCTCTCCAGCCTTCGATGGCCCCAGAGGATGTGCTGGGCTGCCCTTCAGAGAGCCAAGGTGATGACAACAGGCGCGCATAGGCAGACATCAGAAGTAGAAAAACGTATCCTGACAATGGACTGCTTTCCAGTCACCACATGCCCTTGGCCAAGTGGCGGGAACTTGTCCACTGCAGACAGCACCGCACTTCTGGAGAAGTCAGGCATGGGGTGCGGGCGCAAGGAAAGCAGCTTTGCAATCAGATCTTTCAAAGTCCATTTAGTTCCCACTCCAAAGTCTCGGGCTGGAACTGACAGCAACTTCCTCCCCGGTTTTTGAAAGGGTCAGATAATAGTGCAGAGGCATTAAGCCCTTTTGAGACCAAGGCTCAGCTTCAGGGAGACTCTTGAGAGAGAAGTCTGCAAGGAGACTTGACTCCATTGTAGCCCCTTTCTTCCCAGAACTGTGAATAGTTAGCAACACAATACCTACCAGTGGTACCTGGAGTTTAAGTTTAGTGATCTGGAGAGGAGAAACATTTAAGAGGCCAAGCGAAAAATAATCCCTGTCCACCTTCTCTCTGTTCGAAGAACCGGGGCTAAGGATAACAAACTCTGCTGGGTAGGTGCCAGCCAATTAGTCCGAAGTCTGTAAACCTCTGAAGTCTTATCAGGGCTTTACTGTGCGGAGAGAGTGGGCAGCCCATTTGGGTGACTTTGCATGTGAAACTAATTGCCCTAGAAATGCTGGGAATTTGATCTTCCATCAAATCTGCCAGCCC